CTGGATTCGAACCCGCCACCTTAGGTGTATGTGGCTGGCGCCTTAGCCACTTGAGCCACAGGCGCCGAGCCAAAAACCCTCCTTTTTTATGAGCAATTTGTCAGATGCCTCTGAAAAATAAGGATATACAAGGTCTACAATATTTTCTTGATCTACCACAGTAATGGAAGCAGTAATGAATAATAGCAGCAACCGCTTATTGAGTGGCCAGGTCAGGTCTTTTTCATATATTATTTTTAATTTAGTCCCCTAAAAAAACATTCTGAGATGGCTGGGCATAGTGGTTCATATCTATAATCCTAGCACTTCAGGAGGACAAGGTGGGTGGATGTCTTGAGGCCAGGAGTTCAAGGGCTGAGGCACAAGGATTGCCTTAACTCAGGAGTCTGAAGTTGCTGTGAGCTAGGGGGACCATGCCACTCTAGCCTGAGTGACAAGAGCAAGACTGTCTTAAAAAAAATAAAATTCTGGGTCACGCCGGTAGCTCAGTGGGTAGGGTGCTGGCCACATATGCCCAGGCTGACAGGTTCAAACCCGGCCCAGGCCTGCTAAACAACAACTGCAACAACAACAACAACGACGACAACAAAAATAGCTGGGCATTGTAGTGGGCGCCTATAGTCCCAGCTACTTGGAAGGCTGAGGCAAGAGAATTGCTTAAGCCCAAGAGTTTCAGGTTGCTGTGACTTGTGACACCACAGCACTCTACAAAGGGCAACACAGACTCTGTCTCAAAAAAAAAAAATCTGAGGTATTAGTATTAATATTCTAATTTTTACTGTGGGAAATGAATTAAGGCTCTGCAGAGCATACACAAGTGTGGTCTGGTTTTAGCTAACCACATGTTCAGTTTTCCAAATATTGTTGGCTATCTGCTGTTTTACTGAGTGGCAGGAATGCAGAAATAAAAGTATTCATGGAAAAGTTTAGAGAAAATGGTGGCTTTGGGGGTTTTGTGTTTGTTTTTGTTTCTCTGAAGGAGTTAGAGGTGAAGGAGATGATGTCAATTCCTAGGGAAGGGGATTTTTATGAAGTTTGTGCTGTGTCATGTATAATATAAGCCCTATTATTTATCAATGTCTACAGAGGTGGGATTTTTTGATGCTTTGTGGTTTTTTTGTTTTGTTTTTGAGACAGAGCCTCAAGCTATCCTCCTGGGTAGAGTGCCGTGGCATCACAGTTCACAGCAACCTCCAACTCCTGGGCTCAAGTGAGTCTCCTGCTTCAGCCTCCCAAGTAGCTGGGACCACAGGTGCCCACCACAGCGCCCAGCTATTTTTTGATTGCAGCTGTCATTGTTGTTTGGTGGGCCCCGGGCTGGATTCGAACCCACCACCTTAGGTGTATGTGGCTGGCGCCTTACCCACTTGAGCCACAGGCACTGAGCCTGCTTCGTTGTTTTGTAATAAGATTATGTGTGAAACCGGTCTCAAGGAAGATCCTAGATAAGGACAGAGCTAACCCAAAGAAGCTCAGTTATGTGAGAGGCTTAAAGAATTTGGTGCCTAAGTCTCACTTTTGGCAAATGATGGGATCGGAATTGGAATTCAGCCTCATCTGACTTCAAGGCCTGGGCCCAACCCTGCAAGAGTTAGACTGGGGAGAGTAGGAAGCTATCAGAAAGGAAGAAAGCTCCATTTAGATCCACGTATTTTTTCAGTGAATTCATGCTGTGCCTTGTTTTTGCCACTTTTCCTAAAGATTCACAAACCATTTGTCTAATTAACCATTCCAGAATTTTGCCAAGGAAAAATGTGCTTATAGGCTTATAGTTTCTTCTTTTAGAAAATGAGGACATTGGTCCACCTTCAGTTTTCTGGCACCTCTCCTATTCCCAGCAAAGTTACCACCACATTTCAAGTTCTTTCAGTAAACCAGAAAAGTGAAGCTGTGTGAAGGAGCTGGATACTCTTGTTACTTGCTCACTTAGACTCAAATTCCCTCTTTACCAGGCAGGTTCTACTCCTTCTAATTGGAGGGTGATTCTCTTGATGGAAAATGGAAGCAACGTAAGAGTTGATTAATCTGCTTTTTCCTCCATCATCTGTTTTATTATGCCTTCTGTTCCTTATTCTTCTTGCTTAGAACATCAACTTTCCTGACATTGCCATTACCTATTAGTGCTGGCAAAAACTTTATTACAAGTTAGTATTTTGGGACTAATGCATCACAGATAGTTGATACAAAATCTTTTAAAAACATTTTTACCTGGCTGGGCTCCCGTAGCACAGTGGTTATGGCGCCAGCCACATACACCAAGGCTGGCAGGTTTGAACCTGGCCTAGGCCAGCTAAACAACAATGACAACTGCAACAAAAAAGCAGCCGGGCGTTGTGACGGGTGCCTGTAGTCCCAGCTACTGGGGAGGCTTAGGCAAGAGAATCACTTAAGCCCAGGAGTTGGAGGTTGCTGTGAGCTGTGTGATGCCACAGCATTCTACTGAGGGTGATAAAGTGAGATTCTATCTCTACAAAAAAAGTAAAAAAAAAGAAAAATAAATTAAAAAAAAATAGCCAGGCATTGTGACGGGCGCCTATAGTCCCAGCTACTTGGGAGGCTGAGGCAAGAGAATTGCTTAAGCCCAAGAGTTTGAGGTAGCGGTGAGCTGTGACGCCATGGCATTCTACCAAGGACAATTTAGTGAGACTCTGTCTCAAAAAAAAATTTTTTTTTTTTACTTATACCAAAGCATTTTTATAGCTGTTCTCTTAGGGAACAGATAATAACTATAATTCACAAAATATCCTATTTATTATATTTTCTCCAAAATGTAGTTTCAGGAAGTAATTCAACTACTTTATGGTTGAAATAGAGGCTTTTTGACTGGGCATGGTGGCTTGGCTCATGTCTATAATCCCAGCACTGTGGGAAGCAGAAGGAATGGATTGCCTGAGCTCAGGAGTTTGAGACCAGCCTGAGCAAGTGTGAGGTTAGATGCCCTCTCTACTAAAAATAGGAAAACTAGCTGGGTGTAGTGTCGGGTGCCTATAGTCCCAGCTACTTGGGAGACTGAGGCAAGAGGAACGCTTAACTCAAGTGTTTGAGGTTACTGTGAGCTATGATGCTATGGTACTCTACCCAGGGCCACAGACTCTGTCACCCAGACTAGAACGCCATGGTCTCAGCCTAGCTAACAGCAACCTCAAACTTTTGGGTTCAAAGGATTGTCCTGCTTCAGCCTCTCAAGTAGCTGGGATTACAGGCACCTACCACAGTGCCCGGCTCATTTTTCTATTTTTAGTAGAGATAGGGTCTCACTCTTCTTCAGGCTGGTCTCAAACTCCTGAGCTCAAGGGATCCACCTGCCTCAGCCTCATAGGATGCTGGGACAACTGGCATGTGCCACAATGGCTGGTGAAAGAGGCTTTTTAAAATGGTGGGAACAGAAAGTGAGTTCCATCTCTTAGAAAGTACAAAATGATAATTCTGGAAAAAGAAGAGATAGAAGGTTAATAATGGAAGTTTTATATAGACCAGTTCTCCCCTTCCAAGTTAGTCCTCTCTGAGGAGGTAAACAAGCCTCATATTTTAATGCTTGATTTTAATTTCCATGTATTTTCTGTTTACAAAAAGACATTTGTATCATTTTGTATTTTTCTGAATGGCTAAAAAGAAACTCTCTTCAATGTGAGCAGTTAAATTCTATGTTCAGTTGTTTCATTTATGTGATTTTGAACCTTAAAAGTGATGACTCAGAGCTGACTCTGGCGGGCATCTTAAGAGTTCAGCCACTACAAAGTTTGTGCTTGACATGTTCTGTGTTTCATCTCTTTTCTGCCCTTTCTAAGTTCTCTTTATGTGGCAAGATTTTTGGTTCAGTTCCATTAATTGTCCCAGAACAAGCCTGTTCTTTGCATTGGATTACAACTGTGGGTCAGTCTCTCCCTTTAAGGCACTCATAGACTAGTTGGGAAGACAGCTGTATCAATAAATAATACACAGGGTACACAGTAGAATAGGGTTGTATGAAACAACTGAAATATGTGTAAGTGTCTGAAATAGTGCAGAGGATGATATTCTCACTATGAGGTTCAGGAGAGTGTCACTGAGCACCAGCAAGGGCTGCAGTCACCAAATGTAAAGGAATTTGAACTTTGTCCTGTATTCCAGAGGGTTTTGATTTTGAAAATGACATGGCCAGAGAAAGATCTTAGAAACCTGGCAGCAACACAGAGCATGTGGAGGACTTGAGTCTAGACAGAGTGACCAGTTAAGGAATTATTATAGGCTGGGCGAGGTGGCTCATACCTGTAATTCTAGCACTCTGGGAGGCCGAGGCAGGTGGACTGCCTGAGCTCAGGAGTTCAAAACCAGCCTGAGCAAGAGTGAGACCACATTTCTACTAAAAATAGAAAAACTAGCTGGGGATCCTTTTGTAGTTCATAAATATGATGATTGGGTTTTCAGGTGCATGCGTGAGATGTGCCTCCTACAAATCTTGTTACATCAGCACATTACCCGTCTAACATGGAAAGAAAAAGAAAAAAGAAAAACTAGTTCGGGGCTGTGGTGGGCACCTGTACTCCCAGTTAGGCAGAGGCAAAAGGATCTCTGGAGCCTAAGAGTTTGAGATTGCTATGAGCCATGATGTCATGGCATTTTACCCAGGGCACAGAGTGAGACTCTGTGTCCAAAAAAAAAAAAAAAAAAGGAATTATTGTAGTAGTCTAAACCCTAATCTAAGCATTAGGACTAAAAAAGAGAGAATGCCAACATTTACACTGACTTGATGGTCACATTCACAGGACTAGTGATAGTTTGTACATGGAAAAGAGAGCTGGTGAGATGATGTGATAGTTAATTTTATATCTCAATTTGACTAGGCTAAGGATACCCAGTAAACTGGTAAACATTATTTCAGTATGTCTGTTAGGGTATTTCTGGAAGGAAAAAAAAAAAAAATATATATATGTATGTGTATATATATGTATTTTTATATATATATATATGTATGTGTATATTTATGTATTTATATATATATATATAATCTTAAAAGAGACAACTCAGAGCTGACTATGTAAAATATGTATATGTGTGTGTGTGTGTGTGTATATATATCTTTTGTTGTTGGTATGCCTATAATTGTCCTGCTGGCACCCAGGAGTGGACACACTCTACTTCTTTGAAGGTCAACATTAGATCCTGGGGACAGTTGAAAACAGTAGAAAACAAACATTCTACCAAGGATTTGAGATAAGATGCTCCTAGTATCAAGTTTATATTCCAGGCTCGGTGCCTGTGGCTCAAGTGGCTAAGGTGCTAGTCACATACACCTAAGGTGGCAGGTTCGAATCCAGCCTGGGGCCCGCCAAACAACAATGACGGCTGCAACCAAAAAATAGCTGGGCGTTATGGCGGGTGCCTGTGGTCCCAGCTACTTGGGAGGCTGAGGCAGGAAACTCACTTGAGCCCAGGAGTTGGAGGTTGCTGTGAGCTGTGATGCCACAGCACTCTACCCAGAGGGATAGCTTGAGGCTCTGTCTCAAAATAAAAAATAAATAAATAAATACTTACCAAAAAAAAAAAGTTTACGTTCCAGATAGAAATAAGGGTAAGAGTGAAAGACAAAAGAAAATATGCTAAATCAGTTTGTTGCCATCCTATTGGCAAAGAAGAATATGTTAATGTATAATGGGTAGACAATTTGGAATCTCTACTAGCAACCCTACCAGTTGAGATCTTAGAAGTCATTTAGTCCATAGTCCTTTTGAAAATGGTAAAACTGAGGCCTGGAGATGTTAACTACTTTGCCACCAGTTATATAGCTTGTTTTTTTTTTTTTTTTTTTTTTTAGACAGCGCCTCCAGCTGTCCCCCTGGGTAGAGTGCTGTGACATCACAGCTCACAGCAACCTCTACTCCTGGGCTCAAGCGAGTCTCCTGCCTCCACCCCTCAAGTAGCTGGGACCACAGGCGCCCGCCACGACGCCTGGCTATTTTTTGGTTGCAGCCATCATTGTTGTTTGGTGGGCCTGGGCTGGATTCAAACCCACCACCTCAGGTGTATGTGGCTGGCACCTTAGCCACTTGAGCCACAGGCGTCGAGCCTACATAGCTTGTTAATGACAACAAACTGGAGTAGAAGGATTATGGTTTTTAAGTCATAGCCTGTCTCTGCCACTTCCTAATTGTGCAGCTTTGGGGGAAGCTGTTTAATCTCTCTAGCTCTCAGTTTCTTCATCTCTAAAATGATAATAATCTTATTCAACTGATTGTTGTGAGAATTAAATGTGTAAACACATATCTAGTCCCTAAAAGATTATTAGTGCTCAATAACATTATCCCCATATTCTAGTTATTTATTTTTTAAAATCTAATTTTTAGAAATTTGGTCCTATGGGTTGGGCAAGGTGGCTCATGCCTGTAATCCCAGAATTCTGGGAGGCTGAGGCAGGCGGATTGCCTGAGTTCAAGACCAGCCTGAGTTAGAGTGAGACCCCATCTGTAAAAATAGCCAGGTGTTGTGGAGAGTGCCTGTAGACCCAGGTACTCAGGAGGCTGAGGCAAGAGAATCGATTCAGCCCAAGAGTTTGAGGTTGTGGTGAGCTATTAACCACAGCACTTTATAGAGGGTAACAAAGTAAAATTCTTTTTTATTTTTTTGGGCCGGGGCTGGGTTTGAACCCTCCACCTCCAGCATATGGGGCTGGTGCCTTACTCCTTTGAGCCACAGGCGCTGCCCAAAACAATATTGGGCAATTTTTTTTTTTTTTTTGCAGTTTTTTTGGCCGGGATTGGGTTTGAACCTGCCACCTCTGGCATATGGGGCTGGAGGAGCCACAGGTGCCTCCCCAAAGTGAAATTCTTTGTCTCAAAAAATTAAAAATTAAAAATTAGGTTCAGCCCCTCTAGCTCAGTGAGTAGAGCACCAGCCACATACGCTGAGGCTGGCAGGTTTGAGCCTGGCCCGGGCCTACTAAACAACAATGACAACTGCAACAAAAAAATAGCAGGGCGTTGTGGTGGGTGTCTATAGTCACAGCTACTTGGGATGCTGATGGAAGAGAACTGCTTTAACCCATGAGTTTGAGGTTGCTATGAGCTGTGATGTCACGGCACTCTACCCAGGGCGACGTAGTGAGACTCTATCTCAAAAAAAAAAAAGAAATTAAAATTAAAATTTAAAGAAATAGAGTCTTGCTCTGCCACCCAGGCTGAAGTGCAGTGGCATGATCATAGCTTACTCCAGCTGGGCTTGAGTGATCTTCCTATTTCTGCCTCCCAAAATGCCCAACTAATTTTTGTTTTTGCAGGTTTTTTTCTTGGCCAGGGCTGGGTTTGAACCCACCACCTCCAGCATATGGGGCCAGCACCCTACCCCTTTGAGACACAGGTGTCGCCCTAATTTTTGTTTTTGTCTTTTGTAGAAACAGGGTCTTACTGGGTTGCCTGGGCTGGTATTTAACTCCTAAACTCAAGCAACACTCCCACGTTGGCCTCCTAGAGTGCTGAGATTACAGCCATGAGTCACCACACTCGGCTAGCTCACTTTTTCATAATAGACAACAAGGCAGAATCCATTTCAAGGAATGTGTATACAAACCCACAGGAGGCTGGGAAATACTCAGCTACAACTAAATTCTTACATCTGGTAAGTCTCTTAAGTATTATATTTACTTTTGTGAGAGTATAATTCTCCAGAAAAAGATGACAAGTTCTAGTCTAGGAGAAATAAAAGTGACTAAGATGCCTGGCACAGTGGTTCACAGCTGTAATCCTACCACTCTGGGAGACTGTGGCAGGTAGATCACTGAGCTCGCAAGTTTGAGACCAGCCTGAGCAAGAATGAGACCCCCCCGTTCTCTACTAAAATTAGAAAAACTAATTGGGTGGAGGGTTCAAACCCAGCGTTGTGGCAGGTGCCTGTAGTCCCAGCTACTCAGGGGTGCTGAGGCAAGTGGATCACTTGAGCCCAAGAGATGGAGGTTGATGTGAGCTAAGATGATGCCACGGCACTCTACCCAAGGCAACAGAGTGAAACTCTGTCTCAAAAAAAAAAAAAAAAATAGTGACACAGGAGTAGCAAAATCAAGCAAAGTTTTATCTCCATACCACTCATGAAAGGGTTACCTTGAGGGATGGAGAGTTTGAGCAACCTTTCTGTAACACTTCTTGTTCATGCTGTTGCCCTGCAACAAGCAGCTCTTGCAATTCTTCATCTATGACATCATTTTGGTGGGCTGGGCATTTTTATAAATCATATTTTTTTTGATCTGTCTTCTCACTGGTTGGTGATTGATGGCAGCTGGGTAGAATATATTCTTCTAACCCTAACATAAGTTTGGTCTAAGTGCTAACATCAACTCACCAATGCAAATCAAAACCACAATGAGATGTCACTTAACGCCAGTGAAAATGGCTTTTATCAAAAAATCCCAAAACAACAAATGCCAGCATGGATGCAGAAAGATAGGAACACTCACAAACTGTTGGTGGGAGTGCAAACTAGCACAACCTCTATAGAAAGTAGTATGGAGACACTCCAAAGACCTAAAATCATTCAATCCAGCAATCCCATTACTGAATATTTATCCAAACAAAAAAAGACATTTTGGGCAGTGCCTATGGCTTGGTGAGTAGGGCACCAGCCCCATATACCGAGGGCAGTGGGTTCAAACCCGACCCTGGCCAAACTGCAACAAAAAAATAGCTGGGCATTGTGGCGGGTGCCTGTAGTCCCAGCTACTCGTGAGGCTGAGGCAAGGAATCACCTAAGCCCAAGCTGGAGGTGGCTGTGAGTTGTGACACCACGGCACTCTACCGAGGGTGACAAAGTGAGACTCTTTCTCTAAAAAGAAAAAAAAAAGACATTTTATTAATAAGACACATTCAAACATTTATAGCATCACAATTCACAACTGCAAAGATATGGAAACAACCCAAGTTCCCATCAATTCATGAGTAGATTAATAAAATGTGGTATATGTATACCATGGAATCTTATTCAGCCATAAAAAATGGTGAAGTAGGCTTGGCGCCTGTGGCTCAAGTGGCTAAGGCGCCAGCCACATACACCTAAGGTGGCGGGTTTAAGTCCAGCCCGGGCCCACAGAACAACAATGACAGCTGCAACCAAAAAATAGCCAGGCATTGTGGCGGGCGCTTATGTTCCCAGCTACTTGGGAGGCGGAGGCAGGAGACTTGCTTGAGCCCAAGAGTTGAAGGTTGCTGTGAGCTGTGATGCCAGGGCACTCTTCCCAGGGGGACAGCTTAGGGCTCTGTCTTCAAAAAAAAAAAAAAAAAGAAAGAAAGAAAGAAAAAATGGTGAAGTAATACCTTTTATATGAAACTGGATGGAACTAGAGCCCATTCTTCTAAATGAAGCATCATAAGAACGGGAAAACAAATACCACATGTACTCTAATCAATCAACACTTACAGCCAGACACAGGGGCTCTCACCTGTAATCCTAGCACTCTGGGAGGCTAAGGCATGTGGATCACCTGAGCTCAGGAGTTTGAGACCAGCT